AACAACTAGAAAATGATGCTAAACATTCCAATGAATTCATTTACATGTGGTGATTATGTTCTTAGAACAATATCCGGGGAATCAGGTTGATCCTGTTAGCGCTGGCACACATTTCTGTCACACCCACGTGCTCTGTTCCTCCATTCTCCATTGTAGGGTGGAGCATCACAAGAGGCACCACAGTCTCACATCCTGCTCATCCCTATCCTTGTCTCAAACCCTTGAGTCTTATTTAAAAGTAGAGAACTGCAGCACCAGGGTCAACATACATATGCCTCACAACCTACTCTATGCATAAAGTGCACACAAAAATAGAACTCCCCCAATCTCAGACTCTGCTGCTGGCACTTAGAATATCTCTGGCTTTCCCATCCTTGCTGTTTCTCCAAAACATAATTTCACACCTGCAGTCCATGTCCAATACAAGGGACTGACAGCACGTGGTCCAGTACCGACTTTCAGTTGCACTTTGCTGGAGAAATGAGATGTCACCTCATTTTTTAAATGTGGTTCCCAATCAGCCATAAATTGATTTATGAATCCGTGGGTTGCTTTAAAGTTTTTTTCCTTCTGCCCAAGACTTATTGTCATTTCACAATTAGCATTCTACAGATACATGCAACAAGAAAACATCTAATTCTTATATGAGCATGGTAAGTGTTTTAACAACTCTGGGTAGATCTGGTTGGGAAATAAATGAAAATAAAGTACTGGTTTTCTGCCCTGTACATGCGCTCTTTTCCAAGGATAATCAAGAAATTGGCTAAATCCTAATAATCTAAGTTTTAGATGTCACAAAGAGATTAAATTTCCTTGGGAATATAAGGACTTTAGATTGCTACATACTTCTCGGTTTTAATCACTTATACTACTTAATACTGCAGAAAAATATGCAGCTACTATTAATTATTCTCTTCACTAATAAAACTTTTGATCTAAAAGAGTTTTATCTGACTACAAAACTTGAGTGAAACTGACTGACTTATTTTCATCTTTCCAAATCTTACCTATAGGCACTGAACCTAACCACTCAGCTAAATTTTCTCCAGTGGTATACCAAGATTACTGTATGTATTTTAAGCAAAATTCCCATAGATAGTGCCTTATTTTCTCTATTTTGGGTAAATTTTCATGCAATTCTAAAGAAGGAACTGCATAGATATTAACATTAACGTATTTAATAACATGTAAACCTGGATGTGAACAAAAAGGAAACTTTTCATCATAGAAAGTAAAAAGAAGTATTTCAAAAACACTGATTTAAATGCCTTCTCAACAACAAAAAAATACTTTTAAAAAATCAGGCTCAGCACCTGTGGCTCAAGTGGCTAAGGCGCCAGCCACATACACCTAAGGTGGCGGGTTCAAATCTAGCCGGGCCCACAAAAACAACAATGACAGCTGCAACCAAAAAAGAGCCGGACACCTATGGTCCCAGCTACCTTGGAGGCTGAGGCAGGAGACTCACTTGAGCCCAGGAATTGGAGGTTGCTGTGATCTTCGATGCCACAGCACTCCACCCAAGGGGATAGCTTGAGGCTCTGTCTCTAAAAAAATTAAAAAAATAAAAAATAAAAACTCAGCTTTTGGGGCACCACCTGTGGCTTAAAGGAGTAGGGAGTGGCTTGTTCAAACCCAGCCCCCGCCAAAAACTGCAAAAAAAAAAAAAAAATCAGTTTTCTGCTGGAGTCTTCACAAAGTGAAAGCGCTTATCTTATCATTTTTATTATTTTAAATGCAAGTTTTACCCAAGAATAATCATTACTCATGAAAAACAAGTTTTAAACATGTACCAAAAAATAAAGCAAAAGATATATATATGAAATGTCTAAAATGTTTAAGTCACAGTTCAGTCTGAAAAGTATTTTCATTGTTTTCAAATAAGCCATGATGAAACTACTGTAATGAGGTTTTAAGTGTGAGGTTTTTAAATCTTTGTAGTACTTTAATGAAAAGTATTTAAATAAAAACCCTTACTTTACCGCTCCCAGATATAACACAACATTTTTAGGTGTAGAAAAATTAGAAATTGTGCAATTAATAAACCAGAAAGTCAAATATCATTGTCAGTAAATAAATGCTGTCTGCTAAATTTCAAAGGAACCCATTGTATGTTAAATCTTTAAAAAATGAACTCATCTACCCTCTCATTTCAGCAGCCTCTCAATTTTCCCATTACAATTAACAATATAACTCAGCAGTCAAGTCTTCCAAACCAGTATCATCAGATTTATTTTTAACTCTTGACTCCTTCACAAACATTCCCCTTCAGTCCTATACGAAATCCTGCCAGTTTTTCATTCACACTGTCTCTCAACTCTTCCTTTCATCCTATTTTCACATTTACTTTATTCCCGCATGATTCACAATATATGCTATTATCTCTCTAAAAGGACTTAACATCTTTCTACTCTAAACCATCAATCTGGCTGCCAAAATTACCTTTAAATATCTTGTTCACACCTACAGTATATCCAGATATCTTCTAAGTCTCAACCAAACTTTTGTAAGACCCCTCTGCCGTCAACCAGCTAACTTTCCCATATTTCTCAAATTCCACCCTCTTCTACTTAGTCCCCTTGAATTCCAATTTACCAACTTGTTCACTGTCTCCCAGACAAAACTCATCATCCCTGTACCTCTCTATGTTCTTTCTACCTAGACAGAATCCTTCATGCTTCTCTGTCAATTCAAGTTACAGCCTTCTTTAACACCAGTCTTAAAACATAGCTTCTCTGCAAGAAGCCTTTCCTCTCCAACCCACTGGTCTCATCCCTTTATTCTGTGTCCCTCAGAACAAAAGATTCAATTTGTATTTTTTATAATCCTGCAGTCATCGTGCTATTATTTTATTATTTTTTCCCCATAGCCTGCCTCTACAACTAAATGATTAGCTTTTGAGACCTATTTCTGCGTCTTTACTTTGAACAGAGGTCCCTTAGAACTCTAGCACTCTAACAAATGCTGAAGGATTCCCCTTTCCTTTAAATATCTTTAAAGTTAAGGTTGTTAAAACACAATTAGCATCGAACTCCAACATTTTAAACGTTAAGTTGACATATATGGTAATAGAAAATTAAACATTTTTTAATCTATGTACTTTACAAGAGTTACTCCATCCTCAGTCAACATGTATACTACCAAGAATTGAGTCATTTTCAAAGAAAATCATGGAAACAAAATTAAAAGTCCCAAAATTTAGTATCAAAATTTAGCATTATGGATTTCTGAAATAAATCTAATAAATCAATTACCTAAAATTGATTTTGAGGGTTTTTTTTTAATTGTATTACCAAGATGTAAAACATACAAACACTCCAGTACCACAAGAGGCAAGTCTTAGGTAGCTATTATAAGATTTGCTTCATCATAGGTGAAAACCACTCTACAATTTTAAAATATCCTTTCAAATGACCCCACGAAGTGCTTAGAAAGCATGCCCCTTCTTTGAAAGATGCATAATCAGCTTCCCTCTTCACATACCCCGCATTCTCCACTAGCTAGTCACCAAAATTAAAAAAAATAACTTTCAAAATAATCTCCGATTCAGCTATTACCTTGGATTACCCTGTTTTAGACAAGTTCCAAAAGCCAACATGAATTGAAATCCCATGTTCAATTAAAAGTGATCATTGCATGTTGCTTAACGATATAATCAATTTCATATAACAACAGATTGTGTTTGGTTTTTGTCATTTTTAATCTCAGTTCTTCACTTCTCTCAATTCTTCTAGGCAACAAAATAGTTTGTCTCCATCCTTGTTTTGTCCCTTTCTTATAGAATAAGGACATAACATATGTCAAATTCTGAAAGTGTATTTACGTAAGCTGTCATTAAATACCACATAAACATTTCCACAAATAGAGATACACTGGAACATTACTTAGTATACCAAACACCTCAAGAACATACTTTTCCACACAAATTCAGGACAAGAGTACAGTCTAGCGACAACTCAGAACACAACCCAAATATCCCTATTATTTCCAAGACCACAGCTTTCTGCAAAAGCTAGGATGGAAGGGACTAAATCCACAATCTTAACTAAACATTACCAAAACTAAAACTAGAATATTTCAAATAGCCCTAAAAGGACCACCACCATATTCTATACATTTAACAAGTAATGAATGCAATGGCACCCCAAAATTGAACTTAAATGACAATGAGTCAGTGACAATTAACATTTTACTTAGTATTTAGCACAATGACAATACAAACCTCAATCAAAACTTGGACCTACTGCCAAGTTACCTTTTAATTAATGATAAATTATATAGTGGCAAATTGGTAATGTCAAAACAGGAAGGCTAAGAGATAACACATCAAACTACTTATCCAATTGAAGACAATGCATTTAGAGATACTACTGCAGCTGAATATTTTTCTATCAGCTCCCAGCCCCTTGTAAAAGGAAAAAAATCAATGCTCACCTCCACATGTGAACGCTGGTCACTGAGCAAGTTCACCCCCAGACTAAGAACAAATATTTTGTATAATCACAAGGTAAGTAAGACATGTTAGGAGGGTGGGACATTTAATGCCTCTAGAAAGTACACCAAACTATGGTATCTTCAGACACCGAAACTAACTAAAATATCCTCCCTCGTTCCAAATGTACATAATGGTTTATGAATCAAATCCTGTTCTTCTCTTCATTCTAAACACTTCCATCACTATTTTAAAATGGAAACACTTAAACACTTGATAAGGCTAACTACCAACACCTAGAAAAGTGTAAGAAACAAGTTTCAAATCGAATCTTCCAAACAAAAATCATATTCTCTCAATTCAAGGTTAATGAGACTGGGGGGAGGGGGTATGGAAAACGAAAAGAGGGAGCTGCCTCATCCTTGACTGAAGACAGGTTTTGCCCTTTCCCATTACCTCCGTCTGACTGCTGTATCAGAAGGTCTAATGTTTTAAGACCCTGGTATTTCTAGGTTTCCAATTTTAAAGGTGAGGTGGAGAAAGGGTGTAAAATAAAATCAATACTCACTGCTAACTTTCATGCTGCCAAAAGCCGAAGGCTGCTGCACTGGCTTGCAGCTCTCCGCAAAGGAGGTGGTTCTAGGCCTCCCTGACATGATCACTCTCTTCCCGAATCACCTTTTCCTTCCTTCCTCCTTTTCTTCCTTTTGTCTTATTTTGGGATGTTAGGTTAATGATAATTGCAGCATTAAGTTCTCCCACAAGAAAAAATAAAAGAAAAAAAAAAAGACTTCTTCCTCTTGGCTTTTCACTCCTTTTGTATACTATTTTTAAAAAGCGATGTATTTCTCCTTCAAGACAGATCTGTACGGATATTTAACATATAGATGATTTGGGGTGGGGGGAAAAAATACAATTCTCTCCCCTCCCTTTCGTGAGAAGGGGGAAAGGGGAAGGGGAAATCCTAAAAAAATATATCACGTGAAACGGGGACAAATACTTGATTGTAAATAAGTACTTTGAATATTATATTTTCCTCGGGGATTTTTTTCCGAGTCAATGAAGAAGGGAAGCGGCGGAAGGATCACGAGTCTCACGCTTGAAGAGAAAGGGGGATGGGAAGGAGGGAGGGTGAGGGAGGGGATGGCTCGGAGATGCGACGGGAAACGCTGCGGCTCCGGCTGCCGCGGGATCCGGCGGGATGACGGCGGGGGCCAGGCGAACTGGAGGGCGACGGAGTCGCGAGTCAGTCAGAGGCTGGCGGTGGCAGCAGCTTCTCTCTTCATTGCGCCAGGAGCAACTGCAGGCGGCGGCTGGATCCAGCGGCCATGGCGGCGGCGGCAGCTCCCTTCAGACCCCAGGCAGCGGCTCCTCGACTGCTCCCCATACGCCGGGGACATGGGAACCCGGCAACCGCTTCCGTCCCTCGGGGTCCCCTCCCCCGTCCACGGCACCAGCGCGGCCGCCCTCCCGCCCCTCGCCTGTGTTCGGTGCCTGCTCAGGAAGTGTCCGCGCTTTGCCCCCAGCCCGGAGCCCTGTCAGCGGCTGCGGGGCCGGCTCCTCCTTGCTTCCTTCCTTCCTTTGTCACTCGGCCCGGGCGGCGGCGGCGGCGGCGGCGGCACAAGCCCGCATTCGCCCGGGTCGGGGGCTGCTCTGTTAGAGGAGCGCCGTCTGCGCAGCCGCGTAGCGCTTCCCCACTCCCCCTCCCCCCTCCTACTCGTCCTCCGCCTCCTTCCTCCCCCACCCAGCCTTACACCGCCCAGTGCCCCGCCACCCGCGTAACAGGCGTCTGGGAATCGCCGGCCGAGCCTTGAGCCCGCCCGCTTCGGCTGAGAGAAGCCCAAACGGAGCCAATCACGGACGTCGATTATTTTACGGCACTTCACGGAAAGAGCCGATCAGCCTGAGAAACCAATTGGAAAGTGCTGCTGGGAAACCACGCCCGGAGAGCGGAAAATGCCGAAGGCAGACGAACGGAAAGAAGGAGAATTCGCCGCCTTCTGTGGCTGGCTAGGGGAGACATTCGACAATGGCAACAGTGTCCAATCAGAGTCGTCCGCCCTCACGAAAAAGCTTAAAGAGTTAAGGACAGTGAAACCCCAAGTAGCTGGTGAAACTGCACGGCTCAGTGCCGCGGCCGCTTTGTAATTGGCTGGAGAACTCCTCTGGGAGTGTACCTCCTTCGGTGATTGGTGAAGGGAAGGGGGCTTCCGAGGACAGTCTGACCAGTCAGGACTTCGGCTCCCTCGCCAAGGTGGGGAGAAGAAGAAAGCGAAGGGCGCCTATAAGGCGCCGTCTCATTGGCCTGAAGCTCAGGCGCTGGAGAAGAGGCAGAAGGAAAGGAAAGGAGGCCGAAACTCGTGGTGGTGGCCAATCGGCACTCGCTGCTGTCCAATCGCAAGACCTAGCCGCAGTGTGATTGGCCTCCGGCCTGCGGTCCCAGGAGCGGGGTGAAGCTCGTCTGGGGTCGTGGCTGATGGTCTGACCGGCTTGCCTGCGGCTTCTTCCCGCCAGTGTAAAGACCGCATATGGGGAGTGCAGGCCCTCTGCGCAGCCGGTCCGAAACTGCTGTGGCCGGCGGGACAGGGCGCTGGGTGCTCAAGCGCGCAGAGGGTCGAGGAACTCTCCCCACCCTACGAGAGGCTCTTGGCGGGGCGCGGCTAATTCTGCGCGCCGAAGGCTCAATTAACTGCGGGTTCGCGCGTCCTGGTTATCGGCTAGGGGGACTGCCCCAGCTGGGTTACAAGCTCTCAGACACTAAAGTGGGAACAAAGCTCCCAGAGAGGCAGAGTCTTAGGGCATCAGCGCCCCGCCCAGCCGCGGGGGCCTTTGATAAGAGAGGCTCACCAAGCGTGGTGCGCGCGGCCAGGCCGGGCCTCTTAGAAACGCCCCTGAAAAATGAGCTCATTCGGGATGCGCGCGCTCCTTGGGCGCGACTGCCCAGCGCAAAACTGGACCCGAAAGCAGGTGAAGGGAAATGCGGTCAGGCCGGATATCCTGAAGCCTCCAAAGAAACGACGGGGAGTCAGAATAACCCACAGTAGCACTGGGTCATTTGGAACTAGGGTGATCTACAAAGTGGTGTTTGAGTAGATTTTACCCATAGGCCTGTATCCATTGTTCTACCAGAGAACCAATTCCTTTGGTCCGCCTGAGAACTGTGGGGCATGGCTAGGTCCCTAAATCAGAGAAAGTAGAAAGAACAGTTGCCATCCTAACTGTAATCTGGTGGTGCCCGTAATTTCCACCTGCAGAGTCATCTCTTTCTGTTATGATGTTATCTCCAGAAAGCATATGTAAAAGTACACATACTTCGATCAGATTATCTAGCTTTTGCTTTGAAATATTGGTGAGGGACTTGGGACAAAGCAAAATAAGCTTTGATGGGAGATAAGAAAGGTCTAGATAGGGTTTTGCAGACTCAAATGTCTTCAGGAGCCAGACAAGTAAAGCAAACGAGTGACATTGGCTGAGTGTTGAGACAATGAGGAATAACAGGGAATATAGCCAATTGGAATATCCATGGCATAAATAAAGGGAGCAGCTGCTCAGCTCTACCAAATCGTCGTCCTCGGGAATGTGGGTCCAGTGTTACTAGTCTTTTTTTTCTTCTTCTTTTCTCCCAGAAGAAACCCTAAAGTTGGATTTTTGTGTGAAATCTTTGGATTTTTAAATGTTGACAACCAATATTTCAAATTCTATGGGCCAAACTAAGAAACATCCCTAGGTGGCCAACAAGTAACTTGTAATCTCAAACCTGAGCATAAATTTTATAAGCCCAAGAGCTGTAAGTACAGGCTCTTGTTATTTGCAATTAAAAGAGAGCAGGAGGTCACTGGATGCCATGGGGGAGGGTAAAGAATGTTAAAAGCAGACTCATGCATAGCAGCTTTGTCATCTGAGTGGTGCCTGTCCATACTGTTAGTAAAGACTTTTGCCACAGTCTCCTAGAATACTAAGAGGCAAAGTTTTAAATCTTTACTTTCCATCTCTACTCCCAATTATACCAACTGGAAAGTAAATAACAAATATTTAGGTTGTTGTACAATTTGGGAACGTGGCTATTCCTTTTGTACATAATAAGTATAAAAATAGACCACCTTAAGGGTATGATTAGTAGCTTTACTGTTGCTGTCTTCAAATACTTTGAACTAATACTGTTAAAAAATATATATATGACCAACGGGGGAAGTTTTAAAGGAAAAAAGTATATTAAAGTCTAAAATGAGAAATTTCAGAAGAAAATATAGAACTCAAACTAATGTTCAGAGATTCTCAGAACTTTCAAACCCAGTCTTTCTTTACCTGCTCACTTGCTCTCAACCTCTAATCAGTTTGTAATAATTGTAATACTTAATATTTATTAGACATTTACACTGTGCCAGACTTCACACAAACTATCTCACTTAAATGTATTTGCAACCCTATGAAATAAGTGCCATTACCACCTCTGATTTTCAGATGAGAAAAATAAAGCCCAGAAATGTTTACTGACCTACGGTAAAGGTCCATAAACCTTAAAGTACCAGAACCAGGACTCAGATCTCTTGTTCTTAGCCTCTACTCCATACCTCCTATGCACATACTCTCCGCCTCTCCTGGTGTACCTTGCTTTATCTTGTAGTCTAAAGCTATAATGCCTTGTACTTTGTGTACCTGGATGTGAACACACCCCCTATTATGATAACATTTTTGTTTCCTCAGATAGTCTCTTGTAGAGATCAGTGAATCTAAACCAAAGGATTAGGAAAAGACATATGTAGAAAAGCTGGGTAGTACAAAATAGGTGAGTAGTGTAACAGGGAAAATAGTTGGTGAGCATTCCACAAAATAATATATATGAATTAAAGTGCACAATGAAATGGCTTTAAAGGCCGGACACAGTGGCTTATACCTGTAATCCCAGCACTTGGGAGGCTAAGGTGGGTGAATTTACTGAGCTCACAGGTTCAAGACCAGCCTGAGCCAGAGCAAGGCCCTGTCTCTAAAAAAAACCTGGGCATAGTGGCAGGTGCCTGTAGTCCCCGTTAACTTGGGAGGCTGAGGCAAGAGGATGACTTGAACCCAAGAGCTGTGAGCTAAGATGCCACAAAACTCTACCAAGGGTGATCAAATGAGACTCTGGCTCTAAAAAAAAAAAAGAAAAGAAAGAAATCGCTTTATATATTCTTTAGTAATAAGCATTTGTATAGCACTTTGCAGTTTATTAAGTACTTTGACATACATTATATCATTTGATTCTCATAAAAATCCAGTCAAATAGGAAGGGAAATTATTGTTTTGTTTTTACAAATGAAGAAACTACAACCTAGAGTGATAAAGTGACTTACTCAGAATCACTTTGGTGCATTTTACAAAGAAAAATGAGCTGGGGGCTCGGCGCCTATAGCTCAACCGGCTAAGGCGCCAGCCATGTACACCTAAGGTG